CTTTCTCTGGCCAATGCACAGACTACAGAAGTGCACACCCGTTAATAACTGTCGCATCCACCTTGTCAACCACGCAAGACGAGATACCCGCTTTTTCTTTAGATCCGACTTAGTTGTTGCTATCCTCATTTTGGCATTGTCTTTGAACATGGAAGTAGAAATAGGCACAGCCCAGATGGTGTTATTTGAAGAAAAGTGGCCAACAGGTTTTAATACTCCTATACCAAAAGAAGTTGTGACAATGGACATAGCTAAAAAATCTGTGCGCGTGGGAAACAAATGTGTATGATGTGAACCTAATCTACTCAAGAGTGCTAGGGTTGCAGCAGACCCGGAACATTGACCTGTCTCATGTACTGAAGCATGAGCTTGCTCCAATACCTACTTCCATGTTCAAAGATAATGCCGAAATGAGGATAGCAACAACTAAGTCGGATCTAAAGAAAAAGCGGGTATCTCGTCTCGCGTGGTTGACAAGGTGGATGCAACAGTTATTGACGGGTGTGCACTTCTGTAGTCTGTGCATTGGCCAGAGAAAGGTACAGCCAAAGATTATGTAGACAATTTCTTTGGATATGTCATGAAAAAAGCTGCTCACTCAGATGTTTACCTAACTTTTGACAGCTACTACGACTATTCAATCAAGAGCGTGGCACGTGGAGCTAAGGCTGGCAAGCATGCAACCTGTCGGCATCATCTAAATCTATCGAGCCCCTTGCCACCCCAAAAGGTTGTGCTCACTGTCAACGAAAACAAAATACAGCTGATAGATATAATATGTGATTATCTGGTAGCGAAGTGTTTATCCAGTGGAGAACCAGTTCGACACAACCTTGTGTTGTATCTGGCCGTGAACCGATTCCAATCGAACTGTTCTGTGGACATCAGAGTAATCGTGCTGACCTACGGACAACCTACGAGGAAGCTGGCGTTACAATGGTACACCAGATACTGCACGTTGCCCATAACCAGGAAGGAGTGCACGGCATCAAAGTTATTTGCGATGATACTGATGTCTTCGTTCTGTTAATGCATTTTTGCAACCAACAGAATGTGAAATGTTCCCTGATAATGGGAGCCACTGGTCAGCTCCGAGAGGGTCTCAGTTGATATACAGGCCTCAGTGAAAAAGAGTAAAGACATTGTGCCACATCTTTTGGCTACCCATGGACTTACTGGCTGTGACTCGGTTGCCAAGCTGCATGAAATTGGAAAAGGCACCGTCATCAACAAGCTGAAAGAAGGGCTCACATTTCAACATTTGGGGGATCTTCACTTATCATTGGATGATGTTATTGCTGAAGCCACAAAGTTCATCGGCGCTTGCTATGGCAGCAAAGAAATAAATGACTTGTCGCAAATTCGAGTTGATCTCTGGTCAAGGAAAATGGGGAAGAAAAACATCACTGCTGCCCCACATCTGAAATCGATACCACCAACGAGTGAGGCGTTCAGGAAAAATGTCTTACGAGCACATGTTCAAATTGCGGTATGGAAGTCAGCCCCTGAGCCAGATCCCCCATTCTTTGACGCTACCGACTATGGATGGTCTCGCGATGAATCCACTAAAACTCTGACTCCAAAAACACTCCCGCCAGATGTGGCTCTTGTGCCACCTGAGGTGTTAGAGTTGCTTCGATGTGGATGTTCAACCGATGAACCATGTAGTACTCAGAGGTGTGGTTATCATACAGGACACTTGCCGTGTACTTTCTTTTGTGCCTGTCATGCAGAATCACACTGTCAAAATCCCTACAACAAGGACATAGAAAGTGGGGCAGATGACGAAAATGAAGAGGTTTCTTATGATGAAATAGAAATTGCCTTGATGATGGAGTGAATACAGGGGATTTGTTGCAGATAGACAGATTAGTAGAAGCTGTATGCGAGAGAATGGTGTGAATTGCAGCAAGAACATTCATTAGCATAATTAATAAATGTGCATTATTAACTTTAACTGATCTGTTGTGCCAAATGATGTATTACTTGATGACTTATCCCGGCATAAACTTCCAAGATGGGTCCATATTGCATCATACCTTCACCCGCTGTACTGAATACCCTCTCGGAAGGCACTGACGTAGCTGGAATACACAATACCCCTGCTGCATAATTGGCTAATACTGGATACTGAAACTGAAACAGTGGGTGCTCGCTTCAGCTTGTATCGCGCGCGCGCGGGCACTCAGGTGAGCATAGGCTATATATAGACTCTCTAGTTGCCGTGCTCTGTGCCTCGCGCACACGTCTGCCCCACTCTGCCCGCGCAGTAGTACCGCGCAGTGCTCCATGCAGTGGCCGCTTACCAGTAATACTGTATGCGTTGTGCACGCATTGTGCTTTCGTAATATATACACCGCCAGTGCATAATTTTCGAGCCCATTAACAATATAGACATAAAGGCAAGTGTCAAGTAATTTATTTCTTGTTATACCACCGTATCGTAAAATATCGATATCCGGAAGTTGTATCGCGATATATCGAGTTTTCAAAATATATTGCAATATACCGATATACCGGTATATCGTTACACCCCTAGACAGCAGCAGTGCATATATTATATATTTTCGGCAATCAGCAGAGCGTCCCGTTGCGCAATCATGCATGTACGTGAGTCGCGCGATCACTGTGTGAGTGGATGTCCGGATGCGTAGCCTGGGGGCTACACGACCGGTTCCGGACGCGTAGCCACTGCGTACTTATTTATACTTATAGCTATACTTATAGTTGTAAGTTATAATTACGCACGAAGGGTCGTTGTCGTATCACTACACTAGTAATAGTATCAGGTACTACATATATGTACCCAAGGTACTTTTAGGTTGTTTAGTATTGTTTATATTTTTATACGAGGTATGTTTAGGGTTAGGGTTAGGGTACACTTCTGTAGTACAAGTCTGGTACACTTTGTGTATACATATATATGTCCTCGGGTACATTAATTTATATGTACTATGCAAGTACCTGATACGACAACGACTCCTTCAGCTATACTTACAACATACAATTACAGAAATTACGTACTTGAAAATCAGCTGAGTTTTTATCGACCGCTGTGCCAATTGTAGGGATTGCATCAAGGTGATATTTGCGTGCTATAGGCCGTTTAGTACCGTTCCCAATTTCATTTTGTAGTCTAGACGCCAGGGAATTTAGTAATCTTCGGCCTGACCACATACTTCGTGAATGTTTCAAGGCGGCTGCCATGTTTGTGATTGAAGGTAGCCTATAATTCGAGACACCACAGATATATAATATTTCGACGGTATACTAGTTCAGAGAAATGCATAGAGAAACGTAGCTCTATATCTATCAAGCTCTTATCTTGTATCTTGTATCTTGGGGTCCCTCTCTTGTATTTCACAAGGCACTGATTCTCAGAGAGCGAGTGGGAAATGGGAATGCTAGGGGAAGTTATAATTCCTTTTTTTTGTGACGGTATAATTCACGTGTGAAATTTGCTAGACGTAGTAGACTGGTGCGTTGAGAACATATAAATAGATTAGCCGAGAACGCACACACTTTTTGTATCTTGTATCTTGTATGCCGTTTGGTACCCATCTACAGCTTCGATCACGTGATACCATGCAGAGCTGTCAGTGGTCATTTCTGTGTGATGGCTGCGCCCATCGCGGTGTTAACCGGTCGTGTAGTGCTCTCTAATGTTGTATGTAGCAATAGCAGGCTGGTTATACCCGTCCGCACAATCACCATGTCACTAAAGGTTAGATAAACAGCGTAGATTTGTCAGTGTCGTGTTTGTCAATATCTTTATCGTTTTTTGTGTGTGACAACGCAGCCACTTTTGACTTTTTAGTTGGCAATGTGAATGTACAGTAGGCCCCCTATTCACTGTATTGTTGTCAACTATTGTAATATTCGCAATGTCATTGTTTACTTTAGTCTTAGCATAGTATGTAATTAATTTATTAAACACTATTAGTACTAGTAGTCATAATATATCTTGTCATTTATTCACAATATAGCAGACTAAGCGTTAGGCAGTGTAATACTAATAGTTGCTTTGTGAGTGCTTTGCGTAGGGCCTATGCTTGCAGCTTTACGAAAGAGGCTTAATTGTAGCATCATATGGTGTGCCTGCGGGCGTGCTTACGTGTGGGCCTGCGCGCGTGCATGTGTGTGCCTGCGTGCGTGCGTGTGTGTGACGTGTGTGTGTGTGTGTGTGTGTGCGCGCGCGCCCGCGAGTGTGTATTAGCTACTGTGCTTGTGTGTATATTTGAGGAAACAGCCCTGGAAAAAAGTCGTCCTGGAAAGTGGAAAAAGAGCCCTGGAAAATGAAAAAGTAGCCCCCGAAATTTTGGGGGGGGGTTAGCAAAAAGAGCCCTGGAAATTTTTTTTTTTTACTGATACGTATCTTACTGCAGACTGTGTATAGATGAAACGGAGTTATATGTCAATTGCACTGCTTCATATATAGCTCCTCTGACCTATGGGATAAATAATGATGCCATAAAGCAGGTATAATTATAACTGCTATTAAACATGACTTTGCTTGGTTGGGTATTAAACAATTAAGTAGGTTGGACCTGTGAAATTCAGGTTCAATGGATATGAGTTCATTCATTTTTATATTTACAAAACAATGCTGTTTTGATACAAAATTATGTTATGGTTTGCATTCATGAAAACTCCAATATATTGCACATTTTCTCTAAACACACATCGTAGCATGAAAATCAGTAGAGCGTCGTGTTGCCTCTTTTGTTCTGATAGTCCAGTTGTGAAAAGCCCTTTTTGGGGTGAACGTGGTTTCTGCGTCCCCACAAAGTTTTTTTGCGGAATTTGTATCTTTGACGGGTGCAGATTAAGAATCTGGATGATGCCGGCGTGGCACCCTTGGGCATTTTGCATAATATGCAAATTAACGCGGCCATTACCGAAATTTGAGGTTTTGGCCTTATCTCGCTTGCTTTACAAGACTGAAGTAAAATTCTGGTGTCTACTTCGCAGTTTTCAGCGTTTCTGGTTCTGTTTAGGTCATCCCAACATGATTTGATCATTTTCATATGCATAATATACAATTAACGCGATCATTACAGAATTTGAGGTTTTGGTCATAAACTCGCGTGCTTAACAAGATAAATACATATATTGTTGCTTTACAAGATATATATTACAGTGGTCTCGATGATATCCTGAAGTCAGTTTTGGTGAGTGCAGAACATGCTGTCAGGGAAGAAGTTCCCACAGAATGTCAGGGCAATTCGTCTTGTTATGGAAGAAGTATTGTGTAAGGTTGTTGAAAACCTCGATAACTATGAGGACACTGATTATTCCTAGAGGCGCGCTGTCCGATGCAGAGCAAAGACAACACGACTGTGGGTGGACTGTTTAAATCAAGCCAGTTCTTTTGATGATAGTGTTTGTACGGGCAGCAGCCGCAAGGGCGATGGCCCTGCATCGGTGGGTTGTTCAAGAAATGATGCCTTATTCTTCGCAGCTGGACATCATAACTACGCTTGATATCATATGACTCTATTATCTTCGAGCTATGGAAAGACTTCCTAATGAAATCCTGGAGAAATTCGTTAAGGGATGAACATGTGATGCGCCACAAGCCAGGCTTTGGACTGGCATTTGTCTGATATGTATAAGAGACCACATTCATGAGGTAAGGAAAGGACCTAAAGGGCATAATAAGCAATTACATTGAAGCAATCGGGCCGTGAAACATTGGCGCTTTTCAGCATGCACGTTTGTTGCACGTTGCAAATGATGTGCAACAATCACACAAAGACGGACAAAGGTAGAGGGTCATCACACAGGGGGGGAACATCCGCAACAAGCTGGAGGTTTCCACTGATCCGCCCTTGATCGACTGACCACCCAGATGAAATGTGAAATAGTTACTGGCAGATATGTCAGCATCGTCTGTCAATGTAGACAAGTCAGTAGAAATAGGCACAGCCCAGATGGTGTTATTTGAAGAAAAAGTGGCCAACAGGTTTTAATACTCCTATACCAAAAGAGTTGTGACAATGGACATAGCTAAAAATTCTGTGCGCTGGGGAAACAATGTGTATGATGTGAAGCCTAATCTACTCAGAGTGGCTAGGGTTGCAGGCAGACCCGGAACATGACGCTGTCTCATGTACTGAGCATGAGCTTGCTCCAATACCTACTTCCATGTTCAAAAGATAATGCCGAAATGAGGATAGCAAACAACTAAGTCGGATCTAAAGAAAAAGCGCGGTATCTCGTCTCGCGTGGTTGACAAGGTGGATGCAACAGTTTATTGACGGGTGTGCACTTCTGTAGTCTGTGCATTGGCCAGAGAAAGGTAACAGCCAAAGATTATGTAGACAATTTCTCTGGATATGTCATGAGAAAAGCTGCTCACTCAGATGTTTACCAACTTTTGACAGATTACTACGACTATTCAATCAAGAGCGTGGCAGTGGAGCTAAGGCTGCAAGCATGCAACCTGTCGCATCATCTAAATCTATCGAGCCCTTGCCACCCCAAAAGGTTGTGCTCACTGTCAACGAAAACAAAATACAGCTGATAGATATAATATGTGATTATCTGGTAGCGAAGTGTTTATCCAGTGGAGAACCAGTTCGACACAACCTTGTGTTGTATCTGGCCGTGAACCGATTCCAATCGAACTGTTCTGTGGACATCAGAGTAATCGTGCTGACCTACGGACAACCTACGAGGAAGCTGGCGTTACAATGGTACACCAGATACTGCACGTTGCCCATTAACCAGGAAGGAGTGCACGGCATCAAGTTATTTGCGATGATACTGATGTCTCGTTCTGTTAATGCATTTTTGCAACCAACAGAATGTGAATATGTTCCTGATAATGGGAGCCACCTGGTCAGCTCCGAGAGGGTCTCAGTTGATATACAGGCCTCAGTGAAAAAGAGTAAAGACATTGTGCCACATCTTTTGGCTACCATGGACTTACTGGATGTGACTCGGTTGCCAAGCTGCGCATGAAATTGGAAAAGGCACCGTCATCAACAAGCTGAAAGAAGGGCTCACATTTCAACATTTGGGGATCTTCACTTATCATTGATGATGTTATTGCTGAAGCCACAAAGTTCATCGGCGCTTGCTATGGCAGCAAAGAAATAAATGACTTGTCGCAAATTCGAGTTGATCTCTGGTCAAGGAAAATGGGGAAGAAAAACATCACTGCTGCCCCACATCTGAAATCGATACCACAACGAGTGAGGCGTTCAGGAAAAATGTCTTACGAGCACATGTTCAAATTGCGGTATGGAAGTCAGCCCCTGAGCCGATCCCCATTCTTTGACGCTACCGACTATGGATGGTCTTGCGATGAATCCACTAAAACTCTGACTCCAAAAACACTCCGCGCCAGATGTGGCTCTTGTGCACCTGAGGTGTTAGAGTTGCTTCAATGTGGATGTTCAACCGATTAACCATGTAGTACTCAGAAGTGTGGTTGTCCTACAGGACACTTGCCGTGTACTTTCTTTTGTGCCTGTCATGCAGAATCACACTGTCAAAATTCCTACAACAAGGACATAGAAAGTGGGGCAGATGACGAAAATGAAGAGGTTTCTTTTGATGAAATAGAAATTGCCTTGATGATGGAGTGAATACAGGGATTTGTTGCAAGATAGACAGATTAGTAAGAAGCTGTATGCGAGAGAATGGTGTGAATTGCAGCAAGAACATTCATTAGCATAATTAATAAATGTGCATTATTAACTTAAACTGATCTGTTGTTGCCAAATGTGTAATGTATTACTTGATGACTTATCCCGGCATAAACTTCCAAGATGGGTCCATATTGCATCATACCTTTTGCATGGAATATCATTCATAATACCGGTGTACAAGGTTATTGAGCGATATGATCCCTAATTAGCATAATTATGCATATGCAAATGGCCAAATCAGTTTTGATTGGTCTAATCAGAATCAGATACTCTGAGAACCTTAAAGTAGACACCACATTTGCTTTGTCATCCTTTATAATAAGCGTGTTGCGGGCCAAAAATGAAATTTTGGTAATGGCCGCCCTAATTTACATATTATGGATATGCAAATGAGCAAATCATTTTGGCTTTGGCCTAATCTGAATCAGAGACCCTAAAAACCTAGGGGTAGACACAAAAATCATACGTTTATCTTTTCAAATAAGCCATGCAGTTATGACCAAATAATGAAAGTTTAGTAATGGCCGCCTTGATATGCATATTACGCAAAATGCCCAAGGGTACCAGACCGGCATCATCCGGATTCTCAATCAGCACCCCTCAAAGGTATAAAATCCGCAAAAAACTTTGTGGGGACGCCAAAACCACGTTAGGTGCTCTACAGCTGGACTATGATTTTTACTTGAAAGAAAGTTAGACAGTGTATGCAGTCTACACATTTCAATCATGTGTCGTTCACATAAAAAAAAATTATATTCTACTCTTTATATACATTTTCTTTTCTTATCTTCAATTGTGATATATTCAAGTAACCTTAACAAAATTATATGACAAAGGTGACAAAATTCTATAACCCAAGTGAGTAATGGCTAGATAAAAAAATTTAATAACTCAGTAAATATCATTTTGGATGGGATTAAATTGAAGCAATAATTTGGTTCTATTAGGCATTAAATATATTAGACTTATAATGTTGCATTGTTTCACAATCTAATGGGACAGCTGATCCCATTCTCCTGGAAGCTATCCCATATGTGAGTGTCTGTGGCATCTTGTAACTTGTAAGTGTAGAACTCTTTATAACTACCACCTGAAAATATTTGTTATGGTACTCACCGTACTAGCAGTCAAGTTTTGCTTTAATTGAAAGAAAAATTAACTGAGTAACATATAAAGGAGGTGCACTTGTAAAATTATTATTAATTCAGTTCATTGCATGTTATTGTTTAGAGCACATTTGGTTAACAATATACAATTTTCTGGACATTTTTTCTGAGTTTGAGTAGGAATTGTATGTGTTTGGTTTACTCGTGCCTTTAGCAATTTTTAGTTTCGTATTATAAATGTTTGAATTCATGATTCTGTTTTGTTGTAAATTGCATGGTTCATGTGTAGCATTTATCTATCAACTATTAACAATAAGTTTCTTTTAGAGGTGATCTTATTTTTTCCCTTGATACAGATTCACCTATATATTGTTGAGGGAATATCAATAAAACGTGTGCACCAGCCAAGTTTTACTATTTTATTGTCTATGCACAGACTGTAACATGAACATTGGAACCAAACATTTTAAACAAAATTGGTGTAATGTTTCAACCATCAGTTATCTGTGTGGGGAAATTTGTTTAGATCAAGGTCACACGAGATGTTTTACTAGCTACACTATATTATTATACAGTATACAGTCACTTGTTGGAAAAAGTTGGAAAGACATTTTGTAGTGGACAAAGTACAGCATATGTAAACATGTGTGTACTGATATATTATCTATGGGAATATCTATTTATCACGCCTGTTTATCAAGTTAATACCAGTATTATATTGTACTGGCATTGGTAGCCACTAGGCAGTTTTATGTTAGACGGATCAAGAGTAGTTTCATTTTAGAGAAGTGCCAGATTTCGTACCGACCAAAGAAAGTCGAAGTTTATGCCAAAGAGTGTACATAGCAACCAGGTGTTAATTTGTACTATGGTGTGTATTCTTATTATTTAAGTGTATATGGTTTGTTTCATGGCCTATTTTAAGAAATGCTGGGCACAGAGTACGCCTTAACTGCTTTTGGCACATTTATAGGAGCTTTGTGTGGATCGATTACATGATACTGAAAATGTCTTTCCTGTAGATGAATTTTGCAATATAGGAAATTAATTTTTGTTGCATATGGTCTCATTGCAGAAGGGCTTGCTTTTAGGAGTGTACGAAGAGGAAGCAGGTGTGAAGTTTACATCTGCAGCAGAAGACTTCAACAAAAAGACTGCTGGGAAGCTAGCTGAACTTATTAAATGGTACGCAAGCATATTTGTGTAATATTTCATTGTTGGAAATAGCTGCTCATTGCACAGTCTTGGACTGGTAACTTTTGAACTGGACTGGCTGATTTTTACAGATTTTATCACAGGTTATATAGTAGGGAAAAAATCCATATCATGACTGGCTGGGTTTTCAGACTTATTTCCAAGACAGAATATGTGTCAGATTACTTTCGAAATGAAACATTTCCTTTACAACCGTGCAACTATCTTTTTTAACGATACTCAATCTTTCACTACATGTAGTTTTATTTAAAGTACCTGTTCACCCCCAAATTTAACACTTTATTATATCGAATAACATATAGGTTCTACCTATGGTTCTACATAGGGTGGCACAGTGATCCTCTATATTCCATTATCCATAAATGCCTGGATTTCCAGGCCCTAATTTCACTCCTGTAGTTTCATATAAGATATGGGGTTGGTTCATGACGAAATCTGTCATATCAGGTGACTTATCTCATAGTTTGTGTTTGTTTGTCAGTGCATGTTGTCTTTTTAGGGTGTTATTAAAATAGAATACATTTATTATTTAGTGCTGGACCAACACTGAAAAAAGGCAAAAGGAGAATATTCTACAATTTAGAGGTATTATTATAACCATTTAATTATGTAACATTGAATGTAAACATGTCAACATATTTATATGGCATTTTGAATTTGCATGTGTTTTTCATCATATTGAAATTACAAAATGAAGCTGAACTGCGAGTGAATTATTGCAACTGTATTAACGGACTTTAATCTAATTGAGTTCAATTTCTGTTGGCTGTGCAGGAATACCAATGTGTATCTGTCGTAGGACTTGGCAAGCATGGCATAAAATTCAATGAGCTTGAAGAGAAGGATGAGGCAAAGGAGAATATCAGGACTGCTGTTGCAGGTATCTAGGGCTGTGATTTGATGCGTAGGCATACTAATAATTTCTAGGTTATTCCTTAGAATAATATAAGCAGAGATCTTTTCCTGATCTAAACAACTAATCAGATTTTGATTGGCTTGCTAGGCTACCTGACATTAATTGTGAATGTTCAGCTAAGGAATGAATGAAAAGGTTCAGTGGGCGATGACCACAACTATGAGATAAACAAAACCATTCATTGTAGTGTAAATAGTTATAGTCTCATTCGTATTTTCATAACGTGTTGACTACTTTGCTAGTTGGCTCCTGGCACATTGCTGATCATTCCACAGCTATATTGAAACTTCTCACTAAGTTCCTAACATCTGTGAACACCTCTATTATCAAAATAAATTCAGACAGGAGTAGCTGTTATTGATGACTGTTGCATGTTATCTTAGCAGCAACTTTCTTGTAGAATTTTACCATAGAACTACCTTATTTCTTCTTATAGAATGCTGCATATGGCTATATTGTCTTTGCCTGTGAACGATTAGTTGGAGTTTTATAATTATGGCGTTTAGGATATTGAACGTTGACTGACAGGTTTTGCCATTTACAGGTGGAGCCACAGACCTTAGAGAAGTTGGAGCAACTAGTATTGACATTGACCCTTGTGGCAGTGCTCAAGGTACATGCATTAACAATGTGTGGTTGATTCCTAACTGTTGATATATTATGATTCATTTCACAAACCATATGTTGAAGGAAACCACCTGTATAGCTGTCAACGTCCATGAAAAGATGCTAAATTCACTTTGGTTTTGTTTTTAAAAGCTGCTGCTGAAGGAGCAAGCCTGAAGCTTTTCTCATATGATGAGCTAAAGAGTGAAAAAAGTCGGAAGCCAACAGTTGCCATAAATTGTTACAAAGACTTTGGAAGGTAAGTGCATAAATTTGCCTCCACCATAATTATAGGTAATGTTCATCCTAAGGTTTCAAAACACAAGGGAAATGTTTGAGTGAAATTTATGCTAGCTAAGTATGACGAAGTATTGGATTTAATCAGTAAGAATCGTAGACCAGGTTACATCCATGAAAAGTGGAAAACGAGCAGAAATTTACCTAGCAGCTGGTTGTGCCAGCAGATTAATGATAACAATTAAAATGTTAAATGATATCAGGCTGTAGTGTTTCACCCAGTAGAAAATAATGTGAGAGGTGCTATATATCATATAAGTGCATCCTTACCGAGTGGGGGGAGTCCAAACCAAATTTGTTCAGAAAAAAACTCATTTTTATTTTACATGATAAAAATGTAAAACTTAATTTTTCGTACACTTCTTGATCATATGCTAGCCCCACCAAGCACAATAGACAGTATAATGGAGTTCTAAATATATTAAATGAAATGTATTTCTACTGTGGTTTGTATAGGAATTATGATATTTTTTAATTGTGCATGCTAATGTTTAATTGTTTATCATGATTTGGCTTAGTCTGGTGTATTTTGTCATTGCAGAGCTGAAGAATGGACCAAGGGACTTCTGCTTGGAGACTCACAGAACTTTGCACGTAGGCTAGCGGAGGCTCCAGCCAATAAGATGACACCAACCATCTTTGCCCAATCGGTTATTGATAAACTACAGGGTATACAAAACGTGGAGGTACATGCCAGGTGGGTTAATTTTGATAACTGTGCATTTGTATCTAAATATGACTGGTCATTGTTTAAACTGAACTCTTTCCATAGCAACAATTCAGCTTGTATTGTGGTCTTATGATATTTAAGTAAATATTAGTATAATTAAATCTTAAATTAAAGTGAACCTGAACAGTGAAATTAGTATTCATATTTCTGTTAGTGTACATGGCTGATGCAGCTTCCAAATTTGATAACATGGCAGCCGTAGATAGCACTATAGCATAGTATCTTGTGTAATAGTGTACATACAATGCTACAATTAAACAAATGTTATTACCACTACTACTGTTGCTGATAATCCTACTGCAATTATTAATAATAATTATAATATTATTATTAACAATAACAAGTAATAATGATTTTATAATGCAGAGACAAGCAGTGGGCCACAGAGAAGAAGATGGGATCATTCCTTAGTGTGGCACAGGGGTCATACGAGCCACCAGTATTCTTAGAGATGACATATAATGGTGGCCAACAGGGTGCAGCTCCTTTGGTTCTTGTAGGAAAGGGCATCACGTTCGATAGGTACCAATACCACTAGGATCGATGCTATACCACTATCATATCATGTGTTGCGATGATCAACTCTTAGCAGTAAGCTAGCTGAGTGGTAAACATGTAATAGTAATAGCGTGTGTAGTGACTTTCATAACAAGAGTATACAGGTCACCATGGACATTTGCATTACATTGGTAATTGCTGTTTCGCCATGTCTGTGTTTTATTAATCGTGGTTCTATTTGAAACACTAGTGGCGGTATCTCATTGAAGCCAAGTGCCAACATGGACAAGATGCGTGCAGATATGGGTGGAGCAGCTGTGGTAGCTGGTGCCATGAATGCTATCGCTAAGCTGAAGCTACCTATCAATGTTATAGGTGAGACCATTTGCCCATGAAACACTGCATATGATATGCTTGATACAGCTTTAATCAAAATACATGGCAAAAAAGTTTTTTTCAGTGAATTATGGAACAATATTAGTATTACATGTGCCTATTCTGGGATCCTGGATATCTGTATTCCACCGCATGCAAATATAATTAAAGTTTTGTATTATAGAATGGATTGGTAAGGGTACCTTTATTATTACTAGTTTAAGTGTGTGTTAATCCATCTGTGTGCATACTGTTCGCCCTGTTATTTTTAAGTATTTGGGTGGTTAACTTACAATATGTTGTTTGTTTGTTACAGCTTAGTTACAAATGTATAAGTTTTTTTTTACATTATTTAATGTTTTACTAGGCCTAACACCGCTGTCAGAGAACATGCCAGGTAGAAATGCATCGAGACCAGGTGATGTGGTGACTGCTATGAATGGAAAGACTATTCAAATTGACAACACCGATGCCGAGGGCAGACTCGTCTTAGCTGATGCGCTCTGCTATGCTGACACATTGAAGCCAGTAGCCATTGTGGACATGGCAACATTAACTGGTATGTGGTACATGCGCATGCACAGATCATGGACGATGCAGTTGGGCATGCAAGCACTGAGACATGCATGCACACACACTCACATGTGTGCACGTACTTGCATGCATGCGTGGATGCACGCATATTACATTCTAGTATACAATGCCTTCCCGATCTTGCAACGTCATGCTCAAGAAAGAGGGGAAAGGGTCCACTGAGGTCGATGTTTAGGGCTAATTTCTACTTCTCTGATTGATAACATTTATGTTGTGTTCTTTTGTGTGTAGGTGCTATGAGAATTGCACTAGGAGGGGCAGCAGCTGGTGTGTTTACCAACTCTACAGCCCTGTGGGGTATCTTGCACAAGGTACAGCTACATTGTGCAGTATGCATTGTAATACTTTATTGCGGGTCAAGGTACTGTAGTTTCTTTTTAGCGGTACCGGTGACAATTAATTTAAAACAGTGTAGCATTACTACGTGGTGCAAGTAATACCTTATATGTGTGTGATGGTGTTGTGATACTTATTATTCAGTGTTAAGTTTAAGAAATGTAGCTAGTGTGTCATACCTATGTTCCTATGTGTAACCTTATAGATATGGCATACAGGCAAGCACAATAGGGTGTTATTGTGTAGGTGGAAGGAAGATGGTAATGGCCCATCTTGCACTGCCATCGTTCATATGTCATTGCATTGCTGTGTTACAGGCTGGCACAGAGACAGGAGATAGAGTTTGGAGAATGCCCTTGTGGGATTTCTACTCTAAGCACGTGACAGATTGCCAGCTTGCTGATGTCAACAATATTGGCAATCATTCGCCAGCTGGTGGTGCCTGCACTGCTGCTGCTTTTCTCAAGGTTAACTGATAGATAATTTGACAAGTCAATAATTTCACCTAATTCAAAGGCAAAATTCAAAATACCATTGTATGCGTGATATAATTGCCAACGTGTGATCAGGTTTGATTTATTAGAGTTTATATCAGCTTATATTCTCACTTCCAAGACATAGTATAAAAACATCTGATTTTCATGTACCCACATGCATACTTGCTATGTGTACTACTATTGAACTCGTAGCTAGTAACTTTACTTTTTCATTAACTGCCAACAGGAGTTTGTATTGTGTGACCAGTGGATGCATATGGATATTGCTGGTGTTATGGAGAACAAGGATGAGGTGCCATACTTGGGCAAAGGCATGGGTGGTATGTAGTCTCAGATCATTGGTTAAATAAGTTCACAAGCTTCCAGCAGAACCAAATTTCTTCTAGAGCTTCCAGCAAGTTATTTTACCACACAATTATGCAGCAACTATGGCCTATGGTACATGAGATGGGGGGATTCTACGTGTTACAAGGGTACTAACTAGTGTGTTCCTAGTAATGCACGGCCTTTAATCCCTTACAATGATTCAGAGTTGTAGACTCACAAGGTCTTCTAAATTCGGCATTCTTGAGTCTTCAAAATATCCAACATAACTACCCTTGTATTTATCTGTTCTGACAATATAATGTTGTGTAATTCTACTGACATCATAACATGTAAGAATAGTGTAAGACACGCATGGAACTGAATGCTGATGTCTACTTCTCGATGCTTTACAGGTCGACCTACCAGAACCATAGTGGAGTTTGTGGAAAGGTTCCATAAAAATCAGTAATTCTCAGTTAGAGAAACTGCCTGAATTTGGATGAGCAACAATGACAAAACGAAATGGTGAATGAAATTATTCAACAGACAAAGAGGAATCAGGGATGGTTGCTCTCTTACTCTACTTTAGTGCTAACCGTGTATTGAATTTAGCTTGTAATTATTTTCTCTGCCGATGACTTCTGTGACCGCCATTGAAAATTCACAATATATTATTTCATCATTGCAAAATGTTTGTTCTCAGAGCGTTGGGCCAATTATGGAGAAGTCATGGTGCTTTATATACTTTCTGATTAAAAACATTCAAAAAAAGATTAAAGTTTACGCTAACAAATATTTTATTAGTTACATGTTAATTAATAAATAATACATGATTAAAATAAATAGTGCTGGTTAATAGCCTTCATTACATAAGTCCCAATAATAATATCTCGGCAACAAATTATTATATATTAAAAAATAAATATTACTGTGGATAATTTGATACGCAAGGTACGTGAGAACCTTTTTGGCCTCGTGACTTGTCACTGAATCTGCTGAATGCAGTTACATTTCTAGTTGTAATAAAAGGCAATGTGCAGTTAACAAGTGTATTTTGACTGTCGCAAGTCGTCACGTATACACAGCGTTGGTTCCCATCGTGGAGATTCACACGCGTAGTGTGTGTACCTCTCGTAAACAAATCGCTCGTCACTCATGATTGTGCAAAAATTGTTGACGATGCTCTGCGATACTCTTGAAGTAACATGTGTGCACTCGGGTCGACTTAGCTCACGTATGCAGCAGGTCCGACGTTTGCTGATCTTCGTAGGCGGGAATGTAGCAGCTGTAAGAGGGACATGTTGGCTGTGTAGTCTACGCTACGTCCTCGCCGCCTGCCCGTCCGAAGTCTATCCATGCCTCTGTTGCGTCGATGCGCCATCATTCTATTGCCGATCCTTCCCTCTGCCCGTTGGCGCCGCATGCCGCATTCTACCTCGAGTGTGCTGACCTAAAATAAACAGTGCGTTAACAGAGTCTCATTCGTTGTAAATTTGCAGGTTCCGAATAAAATCCACAAATAGTGACTCGCGGTGGTTTGGTTCAATCGCAGAGCTAGAGAGTGTTGCTGTCTAACATCGTTATACACGCAATAGTCACAACCAACTAGAACAGTCTTCTCCTTGCAGTCAGTGAATTTACTGTAAACTTTAGCCAGCTAATTTATTTTTACCAGCAGTATCAGCAGAAGATATGTCCACGTAGATGCCTTCATTGTACGGTGTAGGTGTCGTCGTTTGCGGATTCACTCACTCGTAGCTTGTAACACTAGGTTGGTGCTAGTACTCCCTATATTGCTATGTAGGAATTTCTTGCTCTCTCTACTATTTCTAAATCCTATATATACACTTCGAGTAAAACTGACATTGACCCACAAAGCTATAGTTTGGAGCGACATGAATTGATTGTTTCACTGTTACACGCTCTTGCTTTCTCGCGTGTTTATGCGCTCGTCACTCATTGATAAATTCTTATTTGTCTGGCCGTAGATGCAAGGCTATGTCCTGTTCCACGACATTGACCCGCCGATTGTGCTCGAACTCGCAACTCATTCATGATTTTCAATGGTGAATATATAAAAACAAACAAGTCGGGCGGATAACGGAGAAAAATCTACTTTGCACATACTACATACCGACCTTTGCATGAGTCTACATTTATATCTCTATATATATATATATATATATATATACGCACGAATGTCGTAACACGTATGCGTATACGTATATAATGTATAACGTTGCATTCCTTACAGTAACTGATATACTAGTCGGCTCTCGGCAATAGATGTTTTCTTGTCGGAGTGCCATGTTCTGTTCCGCGTACGCCCGGCTGCGACGCGACTAGACAAGTTTATCAACGTCGCTAGTAACAAGTTGGCGGTTGATTTCTAAGTCACCGCAGTTGATGAATAACATCTCAAATCGTGAACCATTTGTGTTCCGCCGCGGGCGCGCGACATTGTGCGTGAATTCGTTTTAACGCGCCTTGCCTGTCTGAGGATAATTGTGTCGACAGCAAATTTTTCTTCGCGCTGTCAGCCGACTTTCGTTTTCCACAATGAAACAAACAAACGATCAAAAAGGCATTACCATCTACGCAACACACAATTCTGTGTACGCGCTGTGAAATGACACGCGGTTAGCCTTGTTGTGGGCGTAGGGCGACTTACTCACCAGGTCACTTTTAGAGGGCGACCTATGCGTCGCGTAAGGTCGCCCTCACTAGTTGTGCTTTTATGTGCTGATGCGGATCATTGTTATGGTAAATGTGAAGGTGTGATCTCATGGCGACTGCTGTTCGCTTCTATAATAGATTGGCCGTGCAGCTACGGGTCGTGGTCGTCGTGTCATTTTGACGGAACGTTGCAGTAGTATACGCGAGTTGAATGCCGATTCTAAGGAATTCTTAGTACTGACGTTGCTCTGAATTGCTCGGCCTTGACTCATAATGTCAAAGTGGGGAATTTCACTTGTATATGCGACTATTTCACCCATAATTTCATTTAAGAAAATCTATGCCATATTTTTATCTAATTCTTTGCGAAGATATAACCTACTCGATTAGATAAACGAATACGGAACATACAATGAGTACAACAACAATACAAGGAGTAGAAAAGGTAATGTAAGAGCAATATTATTTATTGTGCAAAAATAATTACCTATTAAAAACGGGTTTTTATTTGTAAAATTTATATTCACAGTTTATAAAAAATAATAATATTCATTTTCATTCAAGCTCGTTCACCTAATTTTGCCGTTCGTGCATTCCATAGTTCATTACAGAAGCAGTATCTTTGTAGACTTGGGAGCTCTATGCAGTCGGACTGACCTTTGTATGAATTAATGCGACTAATATCTCCCATCACTTCGAACGTGTCCGCTTCTTCGTTGTGACGCACAGTTGCTTCAAATAAACCTCCACCAGGTGTCGCTTGTACGGTCAATAGATAGTCCACCATGGTTACCGTACGGTTGCCGAACTTTAGTTTTTTATCCTTGATGTCGTTCTCCATGCGCTCGTCCTTGATAAGACTGAGAGCGGCGTCATTGACACGTGACATCATGCCATCTTTCACCCGCGCTAGTCGCAACCGCACACACTTGTCAACGTGCGGATAAAGAAGTGCGTTGAGTGCCGTGATAACGAGCTCGCTGCCACGAACCACGGCCGGGGCGGTGACGCTGACGGACGTGTGTACCTGACACGTGCACCAATGAGGAGCAATGCCGGCGTTCTCACAAGTCCGCTCCTCAGGAATCGTGTTAAATAGACTCATTGCGCGTTCACCGACATCGTGTCTTCTCGTATTGCCGTCGAAGTGAAGCAGGTTTAGCAGCGTCTCGTGTATATCGAATGGAGTCGTCAGGCGTCTCGTGTTCGTCTGCAGGTTGTGCACAACACGCGGATACTTGCGTCGTAACCGCTCCGGTAAGGCGACAAAGCAGAACGGCAGTCTCTCCTCGAGTTTGCCGACGTAAGTCTCGAGAATATCACCGTACCGCAAGCCGTGGTCGCTGAGTAAAACTACGGCCGTATTCTCGAGCGCGCCCGATTTCTTCAGGTTGGCGAAGAAGTCGCGATAGTATCGGTCGACGGCGTGCAGCAGATGCGGCGTGTCGTGCGACAAGCGCGAGATCCACGCGACAGCGAGATGCGATTTGTCGCGGAACTCGCGCGCGTACTCGAGCAACCACGCCAGCATGATCTCCGTCTCCGTGCGCGCGCCTACGCAGTTCTTGTCGCTGTGTTGGAACACCACCGATTGCTCCACGGCGAGACTCAGTGGTCGGTGGTAGTAGTCTGTGGGCTGCTTGCGGAAGCCTGCGCGCATGTAGTTGAATGTAGCTGCCTCGCCGACGTCCTCGGCGAACAGTGTGCGGTAACCGCGCTCCTCGAAATCCTTCCAAATGAACCTGCGTGACATGACATGACAGAGACATTTGCGATCAGTTGGTCGCGGATATACCAGTAATATCGATAGCACATGAATTGCATCTACACGCACGCGCGCACGACGCACGCACGTACGCACGCACGCACGCACGCACGCACGCACGCACGCACGCACACACACACACACATATATATATATATATATATATATATATATATATATA